CCAGACCATTCAAAACCACCGGTCCTTTAATCAGAGTCTCAGTCTCTCAGGATCCAATAACTGTTTATCATCTGTGACTACACAGAACTGTTTGCTGTTTGTTTGGTTTTTTACTCGATTTCAAACATTCAAACCTCCCAATCAACAACAACTGAAGAGTAAACCGTGAAAATTCTGTCTCGTCTCGTCGTCTGAACGGGCCGAGTTCCTCACCTTTCTCCAGAATATCTTCAGCTCCTTCCTCCCACTGATCTTCCTCATCTTCATACTCATCGTCCACATCTAGACAAAGAGGAGGGAGACAAAAGAAAAGTATTAAAAAGCTCCTTTTATCTCTGCCAAGCTACCAGGTGTCAGGAGGAAACGTTGAGGGAGGAACAGTCGAAGAGGATGTGACAACAGATGAAGGAGCAGTCGATTCGTACCGGCTTCGTCCAGGATGAAGCCTCCATGTCTTGGTTTTTTCCTGGGGCGGTCATCATCGTCCTCCTCCTCCTCTTCATCGTACTCCTCCTCATCGTCCAGATCCTCCCCCTCCTCCTCTGCCACCTTGTCGCTGCCCACGGGGCTACCGGTCTCCTCCTGATCACCACAAAATAAACTTAAAGTACACAACTACACTTTTTCACAATCACTTTGGCACTAATGTCCACGAGAACCAAATCGATGGAAATATTCAACATAATTTTATTTATATAGCGAGGAGAATACAGAAGTACAGTAATCAATCCTTTGTTTCACTGTAGCTAATAATGTTTGATTTGATTTAAAGATTTTAATGTTTTTCATCAACATATGAGAACCGATACTCTGGTACCCAGTCAAGCGTTCTGAAAACATGTCAGTACTCGTTTGCTAGGTGCCAAAGGTACCGAAGACCCAACATGTGGAAGAAGGAGTCAAGTCCAGCGAAAGCTCCGCCTCGACTCGTCAAATAGAAAAAAAAGAGTATGGGAACCAGGTGAAGTTAGTTTCATGGCTGTTTCCTTCAGCAGCTCTGTGTCAAAGCCTCGATTTCTCCCAGTTCTGGGATCTGTTGGAGAGCTAAATTAATCAGACAGTTTGATCACCTGAAAATCACCAAAGATAACGATACTGCTGTGACGAGTTAGGGACCGTACGAACATTTCAACTTCTTCTGAGACAACTGCCAACATAGAAAGTGATCACCCTAAAACAATGTATACCTGCGAGATTGTAAAAAAAACAACTTAAGAAATTAATTTAATAATTCATTAGGCTCAGCAGCTTGTTCATTTATGAATATAGTGACATCAAACCACCTCTCGTCCGTCCTGAACATCCTCTCACAGCTGTTAGTTTTACTTTGTCAGGTCCAGATGTTTTTATTTAAAAAAAAAAGGGTCTGTTGATGAACATGGGATGTAATGTTTTGTTTTTGTTTATTACTGTGGTATCAAAACGCTATTGAGAAATGAACATCACTGACATCAGTATGGACTAGTTACTAAAATTTCTGGACCCGTGACATCCCTCGTGCCTGTAGTATGAATTTAGGTGTAGTACAAAAATGAAACATGCATCACGTATTTTGAGCGAAGCTATCAGAGCCTTGTGTGTCGGTGATCTAAATGTCCCTGTGATCAAATACTTAAATGCACAGATCAATGTTTTCAACAGTGCACAGCCTGTTTTTAGGTTTGTAAACTGACATCAAGCTTCTGAAATTAGTGCCAAAGTGATTGTAAATACAAACTTTTATCAGTTCTTACCTTACAAACCGTATCTGACACTTTTTCTACAATGTTTACCTGATTATCCGCAGAGCAGTTAGCATAAGTAGCTAGCGGTTAGCCTACCTCATTCTCCACCTCCTCGGCCTCTCCGTCGCTGCTGCGCTCACTCTGGTTGTCAGAGAAGTCGCTGTCGTCGGTGTCGGACATCGTGTGGCCCCCGGTAAACTGCAAAATAACACAAACTCACCGTTTTGAAGTTTGAATCAATCAACGTGCGCAGCTAGCTACGCTAAGCTAAGCTAGCAGCCCCTGCTTGAAACATCCGGCCACAACAACCCAGGGCGGCCTAGCTTAGCATGCTAACCAACGGTTAGTCCGGGTCTCTACTCACAAAGAACAGCTCCAATAAAATGTTAGCGACAGAACTCCGTGACAGCTACTTACATGGATCCACTCCCGCCTCTGTTTTCTTGTTTTATATCTGTTTGGCTGATAAATAAAGGTGAATATCGGCTTAGCTCGATTAGTCTGAAGCCTCTCACGTCTTTTGGAAATAACGCGAGATGTCGGAAAGCTGCGCTGATGTCTCGCGGGTTTTCCACGGCGGCCGGGTGAAGAGAGGAAGAGGTCTCACTTCGCTGCAAACTATAGAAATGTGCTTCATGTTGATGGAGATCATCTCTTTCCCCTCAAAGAAATAAAGGAATGTATTACCTGTTAATTAGAGTTGGGAAGGTAATTTTGGAAATGTCATAGTATTGTAACTATACCTATGTATAGACTGCTTTATCAAAGGGATGTAACTTATTACATTTAATTACTTTTCTAAATGTCTAATAAATGTTTTCAATTGTTAACTATTTTCCAATGACAGCTTGGGAGGCAGTTAAACTGGCAGACGGGCTGCAAAGTCCAACAGGAGGACCAATCCAAAGCATCAGAACAGCATCAAACTTAAAAACGGCAGAGGAAGACACGTTCAAAAAACACGCAAAGCAACAAAATTTATATTATTCAACGTATAGTCGAGCTTTTTATTTGTGGTAAAAATTAAGATCTTGGCAAATGGTTCCAACACAAAGACGTGGTGGTAAAGAAGGATCTGTCAGTGAAGAATGAATGAAGTTCTGCTCTATATGTTTGTGAGGTTGGGAAGAATGTAAATGTAAATAAAAGACTTTTATCTAAAACTAGATATTGAGCTTACACTTTTATAAATGCATTGTGGGATATACATTTTGGTTATAGTTTGCATTTTTTTTATTCCATTTTATTGTTTATTGTTTATATTTTATTGGCAACATGTTTGAACTAAAACATCAAGCCAATAAAGCCCATTGATTAGAGAACTGATTTCAGACAAAGCCAGAGTGATTCCTTTTTTTTCTTTTTCAACTTTATTTGAGATTGCAATAATTACAAAAGCAATTTTTTCAATTTCAATTTCAAAACACTTTATCCCCACGGGGCCAACTGCGAGACCCGTAGATTAGTACAAGTTGAATAAACTCATCTTTCATAATAAACATAACCTAATATATTAAGAAATAAATAGACAAACATATATCAACGTTGTCACCAAAGTCCAAAGCAGCATAATGAAATGAAATGAAATACATTATCAGCATTATTAATTCATGTACTGTACAGTTGGGTTGTAGTGTGAATAAATTCAAGGCATAATGCAGCGCTCTGCATAGCACACGGATGAGCTCATAGCCCCGTATTGCAAGTATTTATGAATCAGTAAATGAGTGTGCGTGTGCTTGTCTGTGTGAGTGTGTGCAGAGGAGTGAAGGAAGTAGTGATCGGGGTAAGAAGGAGTCCAGGGATGGTTGGGAGTTTAGGAGCTGGACAGCCTTGGGTGCAAAGGTTGCCCTTCTCCTCTGAGTTCTGCAGCCTGGACAGCGTAACCGACGTCCTGAGGGGAGCCAAGTGTGAGGGGTAACCTCAGTGTCGCAATGGAGAGGGCTCTGACCGGAAGTCCTGTTATTTTGGAACAGACTTTGGTTGAGTTTTGCAGGCGGTTTCTGCTTTGTATGGAGCGGAAGCATGGATATGGAGATGGAAAATGTCATAACGCTCTCAATGAAGGATGAGTAGAACGTTTTGAGGATGACCTTGCTGACCCCCTCTGAGTTGAGCTTCCTCAGGAGATAGTGCCGCTGCTGGAATTTCCTCCGTGTTCGAAGTAAATTTCATCAGATTATCGAAGACTGTGCCCGGGTACTTGTATTCCTCAACAATTTCCACAGGCAGTTCCATCTGCTTGTTGGAAAAGGTCACCACCACCTCCTTGGTCTTGTTCACATTCAGTTCCAGGCAGGATTTATCACACCATTCCACGAACTCCTGAAGAGCTGAGCGGTGGTGCTGTAGGGAGCCTGAAAGCAAAGACAGGAGAACTGTGTCATCGGCCTACTTTACCAAGTGACAGTTTGGCTGGGCGGACCTAAAGAATAAAAAGCGGAGGTGAGGGGACACAGCCAGCTGACGTGTACAAGACATCAGATAATGTGTCATTGGCCGGGACTCTCTGTGACCGGTTGGTAAGGAAGTCGTCTAGGTGGAAAGTAGAGAGTTTCTCAGCGAGAAAATGTGGCTGCAGGGAGTTAAATGCAGAGGAGAAATCAGCGAAAAGAAGTCTGGCTGTTGTGTTGGGAGAATCCAGATGTTTATGCCTGTAATAAAAACCTTGGTATCGTCCACCCCTCCAGCTGCGCGATCTGTGAGTCTGTTATCTTAATAATATGATTTTTGATGAGCCTCTCCATAGCTTTCATGGCTAGAGAGTGTTAACAGTGAGAGGACTTCAAGGAAAGCGAGTACATGCGCTGAGCGCTGGGGGGGATGAGAGACTGTATAAAAACTTTAAATACAACACAAGCTGATGCACTTTTAATTGCCTTTCGCTTCTGAGACCACAGAATTGATAAAATGTAATGTTTGACCTCTTAAGAAAAGGAAAAAATAGCCAAGGTTTCCTATCTGTGAATTTACATTTATGGATATGAAATGTGGCCCTTTTAAGAAGAAGATTAATTGTTTCTCCGTGCGTTATTTTCAGCGAGACCAAACAACAATTTCTGTCAAAGCAAAACAAGACTTTCAGCAACGCTGTTAGATATAAAGGCTCATAAGCTTTGACACAACAGGGCCGAAACAGATGCGTGATCTCTGTGCGCATCCAGCACAGAACACACAATTCTCCGGAGTGATCCCTCTGTCTTAAACGCACTATCGCTCATACGTCATGACGCTGCAACGTTGAACGGCGCTCTCAAAGGAAAGCCACGGACTGTGCGTGATGACGCGGCACGCTGGCTTCTTGCAGCAGCTGAGTGCGGGACCCTGCGCGTTTGGTTCCTCCGTCGTGTCTCTTTGGGGCTTCTGTCGACCATGAACAGCGTCGGAGAGGCCTGCACCGACCTGAAGCGGGAGTACGACGTGTGCTTCAACCGATGGTTCGCCGAGAAGTTCCTGAAGGGGGACCGGAGCGGCGACCCGTGCACCGAGACCTTCCGCAAGTACCAGCGCTGCGTGCAGAAGGCCATCAAGGAGAAGGACATCCCGATCGACGGCGTGGAGTTCATGGGCCCCAACAAGGACAAACCCGAGAGCTGATGGAGAGCAGACGCGCACGGATCATCGATACGGATATCAAAACCTGGAGTGCGTGTGTCCACGAGGCCCACTGAGCATGCGCAGAAGACGACGGCGTGGACTGAAGGGGGGCCTGAGCGGTGTGCGGGTTTAGAGTTAAACCCTCAGAACTGATCCCAGATCGGAGGATTTGAGTTTTAAAGCTGCAGCAACATGATGTCTGTAGTCCAGTAGTCTGTTTTCAGGGCCTGTTGGAATCCATTGATTGTCTCAGTCATCAAGTGAAACCTCAGTTTATCCTTTGCTTATTCTGCAGCTTCTCTACTTTCTGTTTTTCACAGCATTATAAAGTGAATGACTCTGGATTTCGCTCTGTCGGTGGGACAAAACAAGATTCCGGTGGAATCACGATGGACATTTGTTTTAGATTTATAGAATAAAGTTTTGGCAGGCAGTTAATTTCACAAACATTTTCTGTTGTATTTTTTTGTGTTGTTGATCTTCAGGCCAGACACCAGTGAAACGGGCTTCACAATAAATCTTTACAGGCTAAAAGTATAAATAAATAAATAAAAGCTGGTTTTGCATTACAATGTTTTATTATGCAAATTAGGACTTGATTTGCATATTACACAAATACATTTACCAGCACATTGATAAGAGTCAGATGATTTATTTTTATTGAGGTATAACACACCAGACATTTACAGAACAGTTTATCAAAATATATTTGTACCTGAGTTTATTTAATATATAGCACTCGTGTGCTGCTGACCCTCTCGTTCACATATTTATTAATTATATACATTTATTATTTATTAAATAAAATGAGCGTAAATGTCTCGCTATAATGCCGCGTTCCAGACTGCTCGGACCTGGGAAGTTAAAATATCTACCTTCAAACCACAAAGCGTTCCAGGTGCATGGTGATACCTGACAAGGCAAACTCTTCTCAAGTGTGCGCACAGTTGCACCCTGAGCACTTAATTAATGGCATGAATAGCCTAAATGTTACTAATTAACTGTGAATTAGTCTAGCTGCATCAGTTGGTGAGCCTCAAGAGTCCCATCCTACTTTTTCTAGTTGGAGGTCGGAAATTTCCGAGTGCCGAGTTGCCTGGAACGCAGCACAAGACCTCAGAAGGGTAAAGATATGATAATCTAACAGCCTTGAAGGGCGATCTGATAAATGAACATTGCTCTTTGAAGCGACGTATGATTCAATTTGGACAATTTCCGAAAAGTGTTTTACATGTAAAACAAAGATTTTGTACATTTTAAGAAAGTCTGGTTATAATAGGTCCAAAATAACTTGAAATCTGAAGGTTGTTTCTATAAGACCTTTTGATTATTTAAGTTTTGTTCTTGTATACTCAGATTTAGTTTACCAAATCAAATTTAAAATGTTTCATCACAACATAAAAAGAAATTTAATATCAATTTTCACTGTCACAATGGACAGAGAATGGCACAGAAAACCAGTGGGGACGATGAGGAGACATTTTAGTGAAAACTCCCTGGCTATTTATAACAACTCTTTGGCATCAAATGAATCACTTAAAACCACTTGGATCCGAAGAAAAATGATGGGACGTAATTAACCTCCTACCAAATACGCTTTGAACTGAATTGATTTGCAGATAGCCTGATATTATGTATTCCTAAACAGATGTAGTTGATCAAATACACCCATGAACATTTGGCGTGGGAGCGTTCCAGCACAGAGACGCTGCAGAGAGAGAGGAACTGATCACTGTCCTGTGGAAACACAACCTTAATCCAAGATGACACATAACTTTTCTTAAATGCCTCTGTGCAGAGCTCATCCATCCTGCACTGCATAACAGACCTGGACCGCTCATCCTACTTTATGCACTGATTCTGATGTTTGTCAGCTGTTTTGTTTTCATTCACACGGACTGTGAAGCTGTGTTTAATAAAGGATGTATTTATGCCTGTTATGAAATAAAATCTTCCTCAGTAAGATGTTTTTGTCTGCCAGCTCCTTCTTCTTGGGTTTTTATCCTGTTTTTTATCCAGAAGAGAAGAATTTTCAAGACACATTCCTAATAGAGAAATTAATGGAGTTTTAAAAAATATATTCAGAAATTTAAATATGTGGCAAAATAAGATAAAATGATTAAGTTGATGCAGTGGATTGAAATGTAAGTCCTTAGATTAAACCCTTAATTAATGTTCACTTGTATTGAAAAAGTAAGGTCCTTTTTTTACATTAGTAAGCCCGGACCGGGCAGGACGATGGATTTTCGGCTCTAAAAGCAAATGGGAAATCATGGACGATCAGACCCTATACATGCCGCACACCTCCGTGAAGCTAGGAGGCTCAGCTAGCATCTCAAACACACATCAAACACCGAGCATCTAAATAAACTTATATCACAACATAAATCGCTCTGTAATCACTGCACATGGCTGCACAAATCTCTCCTCTCATCCCACACTGCAGCCTGACCACTCTGAAGAAAGCTCAGCTCCAGCTCTGATCAGCTGTTTCACTCAAACCACAAAACTCACAGTGATTAGCCGACTAATAACAACAACAAACGCAGCAATATACATTTACAGTTACAACCGCTGACTTACTTTTGTTGTTTTCACTGTATTCACTCCAAACAGCACTTTCTCTGGGTCAACAGAGACCTTCCTCGCGGGCCGCCATCTTGGTGAGGTCAATGAGCTGGTATGTTTTGTTTCTCTTGTGAGCTAGATGTTGTACTTTTTACTTCATTACATTTATCTGACAACTTCTGTTACTTTACAAAGACAGATTTTTACACACAAAGCATATGAAGAGTTTATACAATGTGATGTTACCCAACAGTTCATCGTGGTCACTTATGGTCACTGTTTCAGATAAGCTAGGATGACCAACGTTGCATTGGTGTAAGGAACCTGGTGTATAGGTTCACTGCTGTGTGTTCCTGGATTTTACTGTATGTCTGTGTCATATTGTCTTTATTATTTGTGGTGATCTAATACGCCTGCTGCAGCACAAATTGTCCACCTGGGACAAATAATAAACTGATTGATTGATTGATTGATTGATACAAGTACAGCTGACAGTTTTTAGATTGACAGAAATTTAATCTGCAACTATTTTGATCATTAAAGACATTTTTTTCATGCAAAACCATTTCATGGTTCCAGGGAGCTTCACAAATGTGATGACTGGCTCAACAGTAAAAATCCTGCTTTTACATGAATGCATGAGTAATAATACTCTCACGATATATACTAGACACAGTGGACATTTTTCTGCACTGATAACTTTTCCTTTTAATACTTATATACTTTTACTTAAGTAACATAACACAGTACTTCTACTGTATGGTATTAGTACTTTCACTTAAGTAAAGAATCTGAATATTTGTCCACCACTGTCACACATCAGGAAAGCTTTTTTACCCCTTCAATCCCCTAAATTGTGCATTTAATTATTTATTTACAAGTATCAATAAACTGTCCACTAAGCCTCCCAGTAAAGACATATGAATTTCATTATTTGATGGTGCACTTCTACACGGCCATCAGTGAGTCCATCCTCACCTCCTCCATCACCATCTGGTACGCTGCAGGGCATCATTCGCTCTGCAGAGAAGGTGATTGGCTTCAATCTTCCTTCTCTTCTGGACCTGTACGCCTCAGAGTCCTGGAGGCGTACAGGTCTAAACTTTTAGACCTGTTATTTGACCCCCTCAAATAATAAAATTATCTTTGCACATGTAAATATCACTTCATGTCATGTCATGCACGAACCTGCCACACTGCACACATTTGTTGTTAATTTGTTGTTAATTGTAAATTGTTGTTGTTGCATTATTATTTTTATTTTTTATTTTTTTATATTATCAGTTGTATTATTTTTCTTATTCTTCTGTTATTCTTATATAACTTGCATTTGTTTGTTACATATTTATATATTTATTTATGGCAGCTGTATGTCTGTCTGTGTGTAGCAACACAGCAAATTCCTCGTATGTGTAAAACACTGCTTGGCAATAAAGCTCCTTCTGATTCTGATTCTGATTATTTGAAGGGGTAAATTAATGGAATGAAAAAGGTGCAGGGAGGTTTTATCATGATTGAGATCAAACTATATTTAACAACTATACACCAGGTATACAGAGGGTCATTTACTGCCGTGCACTTTGTGTTGTCACACAAGTGGTAATATCAGTACATAGTTATAATAAAAGCAAAGTGACACAGTTTTACAGGCAATAAAAACATTTATCAAGATGCCAGTTACAGGTAAATTTGATACCACAACTATTTCTTATGCAAGGGCATCTGGCATGGACAGATACCTCAAGCTGGCTTTAATTGTAAAACCAGAGATGCTGCTGCTGCAATGTGTGAGAGAGAGAGAGATTGTGGGAGGTCAGTGTCTTCTGCCAGCACCTGACCTAATGTTTTCTTTAAAGATCATCAGATTATTTACGCTGTGACTCCAAGCAGGAACAACCGGATCTGAAAAGTAAAGCCAATGTATATATATAAATATAACTCAAACCTGCATCCTCTCTAACGGCCCGCACGGGGCGACTCCAGCGGCTGCAGAAAGAAAATGTTTCTACTTGTCAGCTGATTTATTCCCTCAGTAAACACTTTCCTGATGAGTTTCTGGTCTCAGTCGCTAGTTTCAAGTCTTCTTCAACACAGCATGATGTTCATTTAGTAAATTATGGTCCCATTTAGAGGAACAGAGACCAGGAAGCAGGGGAGGCTTTAGGGCGGGGCTACAAGCTGATTGACAAGTTGCTACCATGGCGACCTGTCAATCAGGATAGAGGTGACTCCTATCTGCTGCTCCAACAGGTCGTCATTTAGGTCGACACTTGATGTCTTCAAAACAACCGATACGAGCGTTTTTGTTTCCCATTGCAACACAAGGAGGTTAAAGCATACAGTCACGGTTCAGGCACACACCCCTGTTATGGTTAGGGTAACGGGCTTTGGTCGGCTGTCAATGCCTTTAACAGTAACATAGTTAGCAAGCGCTAATGGTAATGTTAGCTAAAGGTAGAGCTAATGGTAGCTAGCAAAGGCTACATGAAACTCTTCAAAATGCCACCTAAAACGCAAAAAACACCAAAACTATCAACTATATAAGATTAGCTAGCAACAGCTAATAATACTACAAAAAATATTTAAACTGATGTTGTTTTTTTGTTTCACACGGCAACTAAACTCCAGTCTTCTGGAACCCTAACCCTACCCACCACTTCCAGATTTCAAAATTTCTTGATATTTATATTCTACACCTGGTGTATTTTCACATGGACTTTTTCACACGGCCGCAAGAACTCATAACGTAAAATTCGGTCATTTTAAGCCTTTCAACTATTGACCTATGTTGTTTTCTGGGTGAGGACAACTGGTGTACGTTTAACCAGCGCCGCTGAAAAAGCTTATTAGGATGCCAAAATAAGCTTCTTTCTTTTATACAGTCTATTCTCAAATGTAACATTGATATACGAACAAATTTTGTACAAAGTGTCATCCAAACAAACTTTGAAGGCAAAAGATTTAAAAGCCATTCTGAATGTCCACACTGGACGGAGAA